GATGCTCAGTAGACAGGAGGCATTTAAACCTGCTGGCGTGGGACCAGTTTCTCATCCCATCCCAGATACCCAGGAGTCTGTTTTCTTTTCATTATGGGGATCAGGCAGGGAAGTGGTAATAGGTGGGTATTAGTGCAGGGAAGTAATCCTTACCCCCAGATCAAAAAAGGAAGCAAAGTTCATATTGTGAAGTGGCCTTGAGAAACCTTGGCTAAGTTTCTTGCTAAATTCTGAGAAATAGTGCCGAGAAACTACTTTAGACAAGCTTGGGGTGATCCTGGCCATCTGTACTTATCCAAGCATATGAAATAGATTGGGACACCGTGTAAGGCCAAAAAGATATGATTATGGCTGGACTTCAAAATGGTTATGGTCACTAGCTCTGAAGTCCCAGCGGTCTGGGTTTTGTTTCTGGCTCTGTGACTCTGACCCTTAACTCTCTCCAAATCTCAGTACCCATCTCTAGAAGAAGATGAGAACAATGCTCACCTCCCATCAGGGTTAGCTGGGAGATGTGTATCGCTAGTGCCTAATGGTCCTGAAGCACTTAATAAATAATAGCTATTATTATAGCCTAGAGAGGGAAAGGGCAGAGGCAGATGACTCAGCACAAAACTAGGCATTTAGCATAGAAATTCTTGTTCCATTCCATTGCCTTTCCCCCACAGCAAATTTTACTAATGTCTATAAAATCTTGACACTGTGCTGTGTCTTGCCTAAAATGATATAATAAAGAAGCCATTAATGGGGCATAGTGAGGTGTGTGTGTGTGTGGGGGGGGTGGTGGTACCAAGTGCGGGAATAAGGATAAGTTTACTAATTCTTTGGTAATTATATACTGTGACAGTCCTATCAGTCGATGAAATGTGTCATTTTGATGGTCGTTTTTCTTCTCTTTCCTGGATAAAGGTGTAATTGTTGGGTTCTTTAAAGCTCCCTTGTATCCTCCTTTTTCTAACACAAACCAATAACCAGGGAAACAATTATATTTCTGGGAGAACCAACAGAAAGTGAATATTGGTTTCTGTGTATGAGCCTGCAATCTCTACTTCTACTTGGTCACTAGCCCATCTATCAAGGGGAACATTCTAGGACTTTATTAAGCTCTTGTCATTAGGATGCTGGCAGTAAAGTTTTGGTAGTGGCAGGTAGTTCTAAGGCAAAGGAACACAGTGAGAGCCTTTTCATGCCAAATCTTTCTAGGTAAACAAAGTCTGTTTCTGAGGAATAATTAAGCCACCTCAAGGAATCTGGAAATCTACGTTGTAGTTTTCATTTCAGTTGAATTCTAATATTCCAGAGGTGGCCCCAGGCTGGGGCCTGGGACACTGAGACACTGATGCACCAAACTTAAACTTTCTAACTTCTGTTGCTCGGTCCAAGAATCAGACAAAAGGCTTTGAAAAGATCTAAAACTGAGATACCAGTAAGGCTTAGAATTTTTTTTTTAATCAGAAAACTACAGCTCTGGGAGGAATTTTACAGATGAACTGGTATCCTGGTCCCGAACACAATTTATGGATGAGCAAATCAAGAAGCAGTCTGATGAAGTTCTTAACTCTTAACTGGTGGAGTGCAGATAAGCACTCAGGTTTCCTGATTGCTGGTCCAGTGTTTTTCCCATCAAAAACCAGTCATCACATATTTGTGGATTGCCTGTTGTAACAAGGGTGTGGAAGAACTAAGACACCCCACCATACAGCTTGAAGCTAACTATGTGGTTAGGTCATCAAGGCACATACAAATGGAACAATAATAGTATTTGATGCAGGTATGACACACACCATATGGGTAATGAGAGTTGGGGCAGAAGGAGTGATCTTCTTATTCTTGTTGGGCCAAAAAAAGATTTATGGACAAGGTAGGATTTCCGAGGGAAAGGAAGGCCATTCTAAGTTAAGAAGGACATGTCTAGAAGAGCAAAATCAAGAAAGGAATATTTATGAGTCAGCAACAGTTTGGCAAAAGTGGCAGTTTTCCTACAGTCATACAGTATTGGAATTGGGAGAGACCATTAGAGATCATCAAATTTCACATTTTACTATTAAGAATACTAGGTGTAGAAAGCTTAAATGACTTGCCCAAGTTGACATGGCTAAGAGAGGCAGAGAGGACTGAATCCCAGCCCATGACCTCTTACTAAGTGCATTTTCTACTATGCACTGCTGATTCCAGGGGAATGATGACTAAGAGATAGAAAGACCACAGAGGATCTTGGATGAGATGCAAGATGTTTGCACATGAAGCCCTGGAAACCTGTGGCTATTTTTGAACTCTGAAGTGACAGATGGTCAGAGTAGAACTACATAAAGAGAAAGCTGGTGATGGTGTGTAGTATGGATAGAAAGAATTGAAAGGACACACAGTGAAACAGGTAGAGAGGAACAGCCCTGGACCAGCTGTGAGACAACACAAATTAGGGTGATAGAAAATGGAAAGGATGACTATGAGAGAATCTTAAGCATGGCTATGGAAGAGTAAAGATGCTGGAGATGCAAAGATAACACTTGATATTCAGAGTTGAGTAGTTGCCCATGAAAGAAACCATTATGTATGATTTCTTAGAAACCACCTATACTTTCCTCCTGGCTTTTGCTGTCATTTCTCTTTAGCATTTCACTCACCTATTCATTATTTCATCCAAAAAATGTTTTATGAGCCCTATGGAAGATGTTCTGTATTCACTTAAGCCAGTAACCAACTGAATGTGATATTTCTTTTCTTTTCTTTTCTTTTTTTTTTTTTTTTTTGAGATCTTGGACTCTTTGCAGCAGAAGTTGTTGGATGGAATTAAGGCTAAATGAGGAGAACTGCTTGGTCATTGAAAAGGAAAAAAAACTGATTGTCAGGGAGGGTGTTGAAAAGCCAGTAAGATTTGAAATGGGAGGAGGATCAAAGTGTCTTGGGAAGGGAGAAGGCAGCCCTGTACACACAGAAGCTTCTGGTTTTAGGGAGAATAAAAGGACCCAGTGTAGTGGCAACAAAGGGACTCTTTTGTGCATTCACAGTCAGGGGTCTGAAGGGGTGAACAGCCTTGGCCCTGGGGCAGGGGTGGCTCTAAGCTCAGGCTGCTGACCCCCAGGAGAGCGGAGGGCCCTTGTGTCAACCATCAAGATGAGCAGGCATCAAGAACTCCTTGTGTCAGAGGGAGGCCCAGACATCTCTGAAGGGCAGAAGCTGTGGTTCCTTACCATTCAATCTATCTCCCAGTGACTCCTACCCCTCCATGATCTTTGCATACCTTTGACAGCTGTAATTTGCCCTTCTTCCATTTAAAATTGAGACTTATTGTCTGTCTTTATCCTGCACATTTAGTTTTACCAACTGGACTCTTGACTGTATATGACAAATAGGTTAAACACTCAGCTAATGGATTGGTTATAGCTATACTGAGAATTGACCTATCTTACATCTAGACTGAACATAATGATTCTGGGCAGAAGGAGGTTTCAAAATTATTTAACTTTTGTAACTTGTCTCCTAATATTGTCATCCCTCAGCATCTAAGGGAGATTGGTTCCAGGACCTCTTGCAGATACCAAAATTTGTAATGCTCAAGTTCCTTAGATAAAATGGCATATTATATGCATGTAGCCACACACATTCTCTTGTATACTTTAAATCATCCCTAAATAAATTATGATACCTAATGTTATATAAATAGTTGTTATACTATATTTTTAGGGAATAATAACAATAAAATAGTCTGTACATATTCAGTATAGATAACAACTTTTTTTCCAAATATTTGCAATCAGTGGTTGGTTGAATCTACAGATGCAGAACCACTGGATGCAAAACCTGTGGCTATAGAGAAGCAAACAAAATACCAAAAGAAAGTAGGGTGGCAGAAGGAGCTCCACAGGGAAGTGTCCAGAAACAAGGTTAGAAAGCCCAAATCCAAAAGCTTTCCAATGACCTTCTAAAATGCTCAACTATTGTCAATATCCTCTGACAACCTGATGTGTGCTCTGAGGTCAGGAGGGTTTGGGCTGCATCGTAGTGCTCAGGAAATCTCACTCTGCCAGAGTGTGACATTGACTTTTACCTATAACAAAGGTATATATAGTTCACATAGTTTTAGCAGGACAATTTAGCAAGTCTCTAGCAGCGAGTACGTGTGTGTGCTAATGGAAGTTATTATAAGGATTAGCTCTGGATGAGAACAATTCAGAGTTTAGGACTTGTGTTTGATTCTTGCTGTTATCTCATAGTTGCTTCCTACATGGAATTTTGGAAAGAAGGAATATCTGTTTCAAGGAAATGTGATCTTCAGAATGCAGATGAAGGGGATAAAGATGGTGGGGGCTGCTATTTATGGGTTCATCCTGAAGGCCAGCTCCCTCACCACACTGCCTTGTACCTGGACCCTAAGGCTTCATACTTATTTAGACTTTGTTATAGGAAGACCAAGGGCTGGGTACTGTGTGGTTAGGAAAGTCACATCCCAGCAGGAAAAAGAGTCAGTGACTTTTTCAAACTGTAAACTGAGCTCAGAGTGCAAGCCAGGTGCCCTGACTTCCCTCCCCACTATGTCTCATGATAAGGTCCCTGCTCCACTCCCTATGTCTGGGGTTAGACTTCTGTGGTGGCAAGAGAGTGACCTCAGGGCATTGGTGAGCTCAGATAGCTGTCCTGGTTTGGAGTGCAGAGAAGTGTTATCAGTCCTCTGAGAGAAGGCTTTGCAGTCTGATTTTCTCAGAGGCCAGTGGTGGGAACAGGTCCTTCCCTGGAGACTAAGTGAGCACTGAACTTTGAGAAGCCTCCACTGGCATGGGAGGGAAGAGCCACTGAAGCATTGAAGGGGAGGGACAGAATGATTTATGAGTAAACCCGAAATGAGCAGAACTTGCCGGCCTGACCTCAGCACCAACTGAGGGGCGTGGGAGAGCATTCTGCAAATATTTAAAAGGCATCGATGCCAGAGAACTCAATGACTGAACCTGGGTGGAAGAGAAGGGAGGGAGTACAAAAGGAAGGCTGTCAGGGAAATCTTACCCAGAGCCATGGGAGACAGGGCCTCCTCCCTCAGGGAGGGTTGTCTGTTTGGGCATCTCCCCAAGCACAGGGTTTCAGGGCTGACAGATTCCAGGAAGCAGACAACATGGGTCTGCATCACTTTTCCTGTAAGGAAATTGGGCAGAAACACAAGGAAAGACAGGCAGTTAGAACAAAAAGAATGGAATAGCCCTATCCTTCCTTTTCATATCCTGTTTTAATTGGTTTTCTAGGGATTCATATTGTCTGTGTTAGTCCTGGCCTTTTCTGCCTTCCTGACTACTTGTCTGTAATATCTTCCTATTTTATATAAGCCAGAGACTATGGATATTTCACAGCCCAGATTAACCTTGAGCTCCTCTGGAAAGCTAGTCTCAACCTCAAATGGTATGTACTATCATTAGCCCTCCCCAGCCCCCGAGCATGTTGAAAGTTACCATACACTTTACATACTAAAGGTTCTGTGTTGTCCTATGGTAAAGATATATTTTGAACTTTGTTTATTCTAATCTTTCCTAAGTTTGCTTGGTCATGATATCTGACCTTTATAATGCATTGTGCGTTGGCTTATGAGTGTTCTTGCTTGGTGATTCATGTGAGTATGACTGGCATCACCCAACTGCATCTTAAGAGGATTGGGGTGAAGAATATAGTTCTGCTTCCTTTGCAGTTCCACAGCACACAGCAAGCCCTATGTGATGCCAACATGTGGGTTTAATTAGAAGGCAATAAGAACACCAGAAACAAAACGAAAAAGCACATGACAAAACTGGGAAAAATTTGCGACATATGTACAAAGGAATGATGTCTTGAACATAGAAAAATGTGTATATCAGTTAGAAAAACAATAAACATTGCAATAGTAATGGGGGAAATCCTAAACAGTCAATTCGTAAAATACACAAAGCTTCCATATATGTGAAGGAATCTTTAACCTCACTGCAATCATAAATGTGCAATAAAAATGTACCAATTAAACTGATGAAAACGAAAAAGTTGGGTTAGCAAGGACATAAAAAATCAACACTGTTTTGCAAGATTGACTTTTAAAAAAATCAGTATATGCCTATTTTTCCAGTGTGGGAGTTTTTCATCATGAATGATTTATAAAAATATGCTATTATTGGCTGCATTATATGGAGTATTAAAATTCATTTATGACTGACTGAGCATTTAGGTAGTTTCCAAGGTTTTGTATAATCTTAGATTATTTCCTTAGGATCAAATTTTATTAATAGTGTATTAGTTAGATACTGCTATGTAACAAATCTTCCTCCAATCTGAATATTTTATAGCTCAAAACAATAATAACAAATTAATCTGGTTACTGAGGATCAGGAATTTGGACAAAGCACATTAGAGTGTCTGATTTATTATTGTCTCTCATTTATCATGACTGGGGCCTTATCTAGAAGACTGGAAACCTGGAAGGCTAGGGCTAGAATCACCTGAAGACTCATGTGGCCAACACTGATGCTTAGTGGGGGCTATTGGCTAGAGTTTCTGTATGTAACCTCTCCATTGATCTAGGCTTCCTTACAACATGGAAGTTGGGGTCTAAAGGTGAGAGAGCGGATATTGCTGGTATAACAAATTACCACAAACTTAGTTACTTGAGTCTGGGCCACTGGCTCGTGCAGCTTACTCATGCCCTCTATTCTGCTCAGGCTCCATCCACTTTATGTGGACACTCACTGGGCTTATAAGCTTTTTAACTTGGTGGATCTGAGAGAACATGACTCATCTCAACAGATAGTTCTAACTGTGTACTCACTGGGGGTCTTGTTGTTTAGCATTCCATCTCTGCCATAGCTTGATGATATGCCAAGAATTGTTTTCCAATGCCAGATCCTTGCACCAGAACCCCAGAGGCCTACATAGTGACTTCCTATGAGGCTCATCATAATCTCTATGCTACATCTTTTCCCAACACTGACACCACAACACACATAGATACATTTTCTACCTTCCAAGCCACTGCTGACCAATGATATGGCCTGAGTGTCAAGACTTTTGACATCAAGGCCTCGAAACCTACTGCAGAGAACTTTCCTACTCTGGATACCTCTCAAGGCTGGCAGCCTCCCGTACCACTCAGTACAGCCATCCCTCTATATCAGCAGGTGCTGAACCAGTAGATTCAATCAAGTACAGATCTAGTTAGGCCTACAATGGTTACAATCTGTACTGAACCTGTAATGATATCTTTTTTTCTTTGCCACTATTTCCTAAACAACACAGTATAACAACTATTTACATAATAACATTTATGTTGTATTAGATATCATAAGTAATTAGAGGTGATTTAAAATATATGATTGGATTGTGTAAGTTATAAGTAAATCTATGACATTTTATAGGTAGGACTGAGAATCTGTGGATTTGGGTATCTTTAGGGAGTCCTGGAATAAATCCCTTATGCACATTGAGGTATAAATATATATGAAGAAGACAATATTTCTAGGTAAGGACTATGTGTAGCCTTCCAAAACTAGAGAAGACAGGCTCTGTTCTTTTGTCTTTGTGGTAAGGGATATAAGATGCAACAATTCGGGAGGGAACATCCTGGTATGCCTCTTTACCTCTGCACCCCTATAACCTTCATCAAACTGCCTGATCCCTGAATCTTCATAGGCTTTATAACCCAATTCTGGAATGCATGTGTCTTCTCAAAGCTTCTTGCTTGCCCTTTCCAGTCAGCATAAGGTTTTGATGTAATGGATAAGTGACGTATTATGTGAGCTGTCCAGGAAGTTGGAGGTCTTTGGCCTTTGACCTGACAGATTGAAGGGAGAGTTAATAGAGTCCTGTGGCAAATGTCTAAAGTCATATTGTTTTCAATTTCACACAAATGCAAACTGTTTGCATTTCTGTCTTTTTAATTGGAATAGAAAAGAATGCATTTACAAAATCAGTGGTTATATACCCTGAGTGAGGCCTTGTTAATCTGGGATAGCAATAAGATCTCTTTGCACACATCAGCTGCCATCAGGTTTTCCACTTCTTTAGGCCAGCAGTAGGGTAGTGTACAGTAATTCTCCAGGGTTCATTCAGGGATTGTTCTAGTATACTAGTACCAATATACGGACGACAGACCCAGCATCTTGTAGGCTGTCAATGGTAACACTTATTCTGCCACCCCTGCTTCTCCCCAGGGATATGACACTTTGGTTTAGAGGATAACATTTTGAGTCCAACAATTCAGAAGTTACCAATTAACCTTTTCTACTATGCTCTTAGCTCTTAATGCATAAGCCAGGGACCCAATGTAAGAGTTATTCCAACAGCCAAGAGTATAAGTTCCAGTTATATGCTAGGGGACTGTGAATTTCTGAGGACTCAGTAGACCCACTGTGAACTGCACTTATGCCAGGACTGCATTTATTTATTGGCTCCAAAGGCAAGTTCCAACAGAGAGGGATCACTATGCCTTGGATCTCTAGGTATCCATGTTAGCTTATATCCTATGCTCAATGATCCTGGGCAATTCTAGTCATTTCTCTATCCCTGGGACACAGTCACTTGAGTAGCCAGATGGAGAACCCTCTGGAGAATCATATGGTAGATGTTTGTGGGCAGAGTCTTTCCTTCAAGAAATCCAGTTATCAAGTTCTAATTAGATCTAGCAATTGAGCAAGGAATTGATTTTTTTTTAAAATTGAGATGATTTTCTTCTGCCATAGCCTCCTGTTTCTCTACTTTTGCTTGCTTTGGACAATAAATACTAAGCAGCACTTTTATTGTCACTCTTTTTTAAAAAATTCCCTATCATTCCTGTCAGATATTAATAAGCCTTGTATTGTAACAGTTTTTTTCTACCATAAACCATGTAGAGGAAAGCCATCACTATTAGGATTGCTAGATAAAGTACAGGATGCCTAGTTAAGTTTGAATTTCAGACAAACAATAACTCTTTTAAAAAGCATAGTTATGCCCCAAATGCTTCATGGAGTACACTTATATAAAACAAAACAAAATAACACTGTTGTTTATCTAAAATTCCAATTTAATTGGGCATCCTGCATTTTTTATTTGCTAAATCTAGCAACATTGGTCCCCAGCAATCTGTTCAATCTTCTGGTGTCCAGCATCTGAGCTTATATATATCCACTCAAGCATGACCACTTCCCCCAAACTTTTCATGCCTTCCTTTACTCCATACTTGGGAAATTTGGGTATTTCCCAAGTTGATGAGTAACCATCATTTTACCATGGTTTTAAGAACCATTGCAGCAGTTGCTGGCCCTGTCTCTGGGGGGTACTTCCTAGGGTTAAAACTGTTAATCAGAGAAAGTCTTCTGAAGTCGATTCCACTCTAATATTCTGAAGGTCACCTTGATCAAATGCCTTCAACATTCAATCCCAGGAGCACTCTGGAGGATCTTGCTGGTACTGAGATCAATTAGTTCTTTCAGTGTATAGTTTCTTTCCTCCCCTATCAGATTGTATTCTGTTCCTCTACTGCAGGAGATAATGGCCCCATTGGGAACTCCCAAAAAAGCCCTATGGCTCTCACACTCAGCTAGTCAATGGCCTTCAGTCACTATTCCTTTTCATCTATATAATTGAACAGTAATTAGCCAACTGTGTTCTCTTTGTAGGCATTGCTCTTTTCCTGTATTTTACAAACTCTACATTCCTTCAATTGGGACCATTGCCCAGGGTACTAATGGTGAAATTTAGCAATTTGAGCCATCATCCCTTACTAGGGACTCTCTGTGCATCATCTACCAACAAGGAAGGCTGGGTGAATCAGAATCCTAAAATTGTCATCTAATCATTTCTTTTCCTTGGGCCACCCCTGGGATACCTTGTGTGAATAGTGTCCTATGAGAAGCAGCTGACAACATGAGGATGGAGAAAATGAGGAGGGAGCTGGAGGAGGCTGGGATCTGGATCTATCTTCAGATGATGCTGAAAGGAAAAGAAGTAAGTTTGGGTGGCAGTATCTTAGCCTGTGCTAAAGTCCTTAGAGAGCTCAGCAAGGCCATAGTGGAGTGCTGAAGCCAAAATAGCTTGTTAGGGATGCTCCATGTCTTCAGGCCTGCTTGGAGTTTGTGTCATGCCGTGTCAGTGACTGGAACACCTGTGACCTCAGAGTGAAAGAAAGGATGGAGTTGAGGGCTCAGTAGCTGGGACTGTCCATTAATTATGCTCCAACAGTGGGAGAATGGAAAATACATTTCCATGGTTTCCACAGTAACTGTGCCTTTAAGATTTTAGAATCTCTTTTGTTTGGGTCAGAGGTTCTACAGGCATCATCTGAGTTCTTTTAGAGGTCCATACAGAGACCCAAACAGCCTTAACTTGGTTTTATCCTCAAATTCCCATACTTTATTGGCAGCTTCCTGTATTTGGTCTGTGTTGTAATTAAACTTGGCTATATTATAATTTGTGAAATTTTTCTGGATAGAGAAACTGAAGATAAGAATAATTTTACTTATATTCCTTCTATATCTGGAGTGGAAATTGATCAAAGTTCTTTCCTAACCTTGCCTCCCCTCTTATTACATTATCATAATTAGCTGAAAGAAATCAGCTTATATTCTCAACTTTCTATCCAAGTTTACAAGTTCATTAATACATTTCCTATCTTCCAAGTGACTGCTGGATATAATTTTACCAAACATTTATTGCCATATAACACAAGCTGCCATTTTTCTGGGCTTTGTAATAATTTCCTTATCATTTTTCTAGTCTCTACCTACTGTCCAGTTTTGATGACCACGGCCATATAGTTTAGTTATTGATCATAGCAAAACCCCATGTTTACGTCAGTAGTGTCCATTACTATATCATTTAATTACTGCTTCAGTACAAGATCTCATATAACTCAGAACATTTATTTAGCTCTTGCCTCTCTTGGTTAGCTAATCAGGCTGGACTCAGCTGGGGCAGCTCTGCTCACTAGCAGGCCAGCAGAGTAGGTTCTAAGATGATATAACAGAAGCACAGAAGAACAAATTCAATCTTGTAAGTGCTTCCTAAACTTTTGGTTATTTTGTACTTAGTAACATCCCATTGGTTAAAATAAGTCATGTGACAATCCCGAAGTTAAGGGCCAAGGATGTACATACTCTACCTGTGGAGATGGAGAGGTAAGGGGATAAATACCTCAGAACTATAATATTTTCAACCACAAGTATTCACCTTCACTGTCTTTGTTGCAAACCATGTTCCCATTTTCTGGTTTGGAGGTGGTTTTATGTTCAAATGTATTTGAAGTAAAAGAAATTTAAATCTTCCTGGAACTAGAAGGCTAAGTTTTTTTGTAAACACTTGTAAGTTGTCTTCTTTAACTTTTTGAGTTTTTATGAACTGACTAAAATTGTAGATAAAGAGATAGATGGTCAGCATATCACATGCCCTGAAAAGAAAGGGTTATTTCTTGTTGGAGTTCTCCCCATGTTCCCTTTTTATCTATTTTAGGAAGCCCTCAAAAATCCTAGCACTACCCTTCCCCACTCCTGTATACTTTCTGGTATATAATTGTTCTATCTTTTTAAAGATTGTTATTACTTTGACTCCAGGTCAAGAATTGTGTTAAGTGCTTCAGATGTGATACCTCACTGAATTTTTTGACATTGCTATGAGACTGGCATTGTTATGACCATTATGAAAATAACCTCTTCTGGATTTATAGTGAATCAAAAAGATTTGAATTTGAGTTTATCTTACTCCAAAGCCAGGTCTCCCACCCTTTTTATTTAAATCTGCCTCTATTCTTCCATCAAAGCATAAATAACTTTATTGCTCAAGTAGCCCTTAAAGTGCAATGACATTGAAAAATTATAAGCTTAAAAGAATCTGACTATAGACTATTATCATCAGAGGAATAAATGGCATTGGCATGTTTTGCTTTAGTCTAACACTGAGTCTCCATAAGGAAGAACAGCTGCCTGATGATTGGTTCCTAGGCTTGCCAGGAGTGCTCACCCCCAAGACTGGTCTGGGTGGAGGAAATAATACCAATGGCAATGGAAAGGAAGAGAGTCACCCCCTGCCCGATGCTGCTATTCCTTTCTTTTCTGCTGACAAATGCAGTTTAAAGAGGCTTTGCATCATAAGGCATGAGATTACCACTCCTCAGGATAGGAGGAGTGGTAAATGATTTATTTCCAGGTAACCAAAGGCCGAGGTAGCCCCTCTCTGTGATTTTGCTTGGGGTCTCAGGTCATCTACATATAGCAACCTAAGCAGGAAACCCTGATTCCCTGCTATGGTAGTTTGTTCTAAATTGTATTATTCTCTTTAATTTTTGCCTTGTTTGGGCTGTGCCAACTGCCCACCTTAGCATGGCTTGCAGTATATCTCCATCTCTGAGGGATCTATCCTCCTTGTTGGGTTGGAGGCTCCTCATTTTCAAACTGCATAGATTCTTGAGAAGAATGAGGTAATAGATGTGAGAATACTGCTATAAAAGAAAAAAAAAAGAAAAGAGAAGAAAACCAAAACATTGCATCTTCCCATGCCCATGCCCAGTGGTCATTTAATGCAAATAAAGAGAGCTAGGTTGGCCAAAATATTGTAGACGTGTTTGAGAATCAGGGGGGCAGGGAGAAAAATTTAAATTTAGAAGTGACCCCTCCCATGGGGATTAATTAGGAACCATGGGAAATCTGAAGTAAAGATCTGTCAGAGTTAGGAACCAAGCTGAGGTCCTTGCAATTTTAGGTCATGGAGACTTGGGCACAGAGAGGATTTGTAAATGATAAAGGGGCATCTAGACCAACCCTCTCTTGCCCTGCTCCCTTCAACTCTATCTGATGCTTGGTTGCCTTTGACAACCAAAAACCTCTGGTTGAACACATCAAACCATAGTGAACTCCCTGTACTATGCGACAGATCTTTCTTTCCTTGGACAGATCTATCAAAATGTTCTTCCATGCACTGTGTTATTGCCATCATTCTCCCTGATCCATTATGCCCCAGAATAGGGACTAAAGAATGGGGTTGGGAGGTAAAGGATAAGAGGTGAGTCTGGGAATCAGGAAGAAAGGATTTCTAACACTTTATGTGCAGAAGAAAGACAGAAGGAAAGCCATGGAGGAGAAGACATGCAGGTGCCTGCAGTTGGCAGTGTCTGATGAATGACATTCATTCCAACTCCCATTTCATAAATGCAGCAAGAGGCTGGATTTCCACCGTGAGGGTCTACAAAGTTGTGTTTTGGCTCTAGAACACAGTGATTCCCAATGCTCAGAAAGTCAATAATGATGGCATGGGAGACCAAGAGGGGAGGGAACCAGGAAAGGAGAAAGAGAGGAAAAGAAAGAAAAAAGAAAAAGAGGAGGAAAAGAAAGAAATGAAAAGACACTGGGAGACGGAGAATGTCATAGAACAAAAGGAGCAGTAGGGACTATGGACAGAGAGGGAAAAAAAACTAAGGAGAATTTTAAAAAGTTAAGAAAAAAGACGTGGCAGGTCATTTTAGCTCAGCAGCGACTGAAACGTGCAGTCTCCAGGCTATATGTCCTACGTTGGTTGCTTTTTCTCCTAGGCATCCTGGCTCCTGGCCCAAGACTGGGGAACTTGGTGGTGGTGGTGGTGATGGTCAGGGGGTGGGGACACAGGTGGAGTTTTAAAGAGGAGCACTGCAGAGTTTCCATCTGTGCTGCCAAGATTCTGAAAGCGCAGGAGCCCTGACAGCTCCAGGAAGGTGGATTCTGAGTGGGAGGATCTGAACTGAGCCGAGGAGCATTGTCCTCTGGCATTCGCCCCAGCCTTGGTGCCAGTCTCTGCCTGGGCCTCCCTTCATTTGAAGAGAGGCTGGCGCGAGCCGGAAGGCTGTAGCCCAGCATCAACCATTCGTCCAATTCGTCGTCGGCGGCTGGTCTCCAGGGTGCAGTCTGGGAGAGGGAAGGGAGGGGCGGGGGTGCACATGCGCTATGCTATCG